CTAGAAGACTATGAACGCATAACACACAATTATGCAAAGTGTTATGCAAATCGGAGAAGATAAAGTTTTTCGATCCGTCATTTAGCATGGAACTGCTCTGATAACAAACCTTTACATCAATCTAATACTGAGAATAATGCTCTAAATGATGGATTTTGAAAATTTTTCAAGACCTCAGATTTTGCCCTAAACAAATGTCAAGACGTTGAGATTTTCAGAGTTCTAAAAACTGAACGATTGTGATTAAGGAATTTTGCCGAAAATAAGAATTTTTGAGGAGAATTTAAAAAGAATCAAATTGGACTTAACCCAAAGCCTTATAGGTATTGCAACAGATGGCACATTTGCACTGATAGTGAAATCGAAAAAAAAATAATAATGTATTACGACTAGAAATGTATGCACAGATATTAATATATTTTCTCACTACATATTTCTTATTCATTACATTTTGAAAAACATTGCTTTGCAACCAACAAATAACACATTTACACACATTTCCTTTGGTTTTTACTATAATTTTTCCGTGAGCTCGGTAGGTAGATAGTGCCCTAGACAGAAGTGCTTGATTGATATAAAAACAAACGCTATATAACTGTCATGTAGTGGTACATAGCTCAAACTCGGTGTTTTGCCACCTGGGCAGTATTGTGAGCTACTAGCAGGGATGGAAAATCATTTACATTCATTTCGTGCATTCATTTACATTCATTTGCCTCTAACTTTTTTCATCAACAGAATACCGTAAAATGATGTGTAAAGCTTTTGTAGCTTTTGATATGGACTACAACTTTTGTTGATAGCTATAATCTGTATCTCTTACGCATGACGAAATAGAGCTGACAGAACATGTTATTGTTTTTCAGTGAATGCAATTTACATTCACTGAAAAAAAAAATGGTGGGTTCTTATCGCTCTGATTCATCAAGCATTAGAGATAAGGATTTGAGTTGTGTACAAAATATTTAACTAATATCAAAGCCTACAAAGCCTTGCAACATTATTTTATGGAATTCTGAGGATAAAAAAAGTTAGAGGCAAATAAATGTAAATGAATGCACGAAATGAATGTAAATGATTTTCCATCCCTGACTACTAGCTCTTCCTTTAGGAAAATAACACAAGTGAGTAAAGGTTACGTCCGACATGCTAAGGATGTTTTCAAAAAGAACTGGGAAGATCATCTCCTTAGGACCCTGAAGATTGCAAGGTCCTGAGGTGAATTCCAAGGGATTTCTGTGGAAAAGAAAGGAAGTTCTGAATTGAAATCCTATGTGGTTCTGAGGAAAATTTGATAGCAATTGGCAGGAGAATAGCAGGTGAATTTAAAGGAGAATTCCAATAAATCTGATCAGGGTTCCAAAAGAGTTATAAGCAGAATTTTAAAAGTATTAAGAGGATAATTAACTTTCCTAATGCATTAGGAAAAATTTACTCAGTGTTACTTTTCAAATTACTAGATTCCTGTTCCCGGTTACTTTTCAAGTTCCTAGATATTTTACGATTTTCCAAGTTTTCCCGGTTTTCTGGTCACCCTACTCAAGTAACATAACAAGTTTTATTAAGTTTTTGAAGCATTCTACAAGTTTTTTTTTAATTCTTTACTAAGGAAATATTTAGCTCATGGCTACTTCATCTCCGATCTACAAGTCTAATTCATGGTCTACAGAACCCTCACAAAACCATAATTGTTAATTGGGTGGTATTAATATAACCTAGCGAAATTTTGTGACAATCACCTACGCTAGGAGGCAACTCCACACCTGGACGTTAGATATCAAACCCATCAACACATGGATCGGGACCAACGGCTTTGATTCACTTCCGATGACATACGTGACCAGAGATTTTACACCTTAGAAGATTCTAACAACCCAGACCCATTGGGGTGAGAATCAGTTACAAGTTATAACTGTAGGGAACAAAAATGAATGATGAGCTGACTGGCATAAATAGCCGTATTTAGCATGAACTTATAACACTCAAAAAATTCCAGACGTCTTCATCACGTGTCTCACACTTATTGTGAAACACATCCATGTCATCTTATGATGTGAACCATGCCTCAACACTATTGGTTCGAATTGTGACACACTTGAAGTCTAGTGCCTCACATGGTGATATCAATAGCTTTACACATAATAGTTCAATGTTGTAGAATATTCTACGTTATTGACTTTTACTTTTGCGACTCCAAAATTGAATCGGCAAATATATAAATAAAGCTGCCAGAGGTCAGAGCATACACATGCCTTTTATTTTAATGGGTCTGATTCGGGAATTGATCCTGGACTGTTGGGGTGTGCTTCTGCCGTTGTCTTCGTTTGATCTCACTGGGTCACGGTTGTTCTCATATATGAGGCTGGTAGATAAGGATGAAGTCACAACTCATGTTTTCGATGTTTACCTTGCAGAACAAACAATTCACATCGCATTGAAATGAAAAATAATTCAAATTCATCTGTTTTGAACAGTAGTGTGATTCAGTGTGCAATACACTTAAATTGATAGAGAAAGATTATCAACAAATCAACGTGTAGAACACATTGAACCATGTTGAAAAACACTTAAAATAAATGAATTTTTTAAATGTTATTTTCTTTTAATTTGCATTCAAATTTTAAATTTTAAATTTTTTTTTTATAATACGTATTTGCATTATAACGCGTGTTAGTTTAATTTTTCTTGTTTTTAGCAAGGTTTATACCAGGCCTGCCCAACCTTTTTAATATTTTTAAATGGCTGTATATTTGTTTGATGAACATGTTTTAAGTTGCATTTTGATAATTTCTCATTCATTCTGGGCCAAAACTCATAATGATGAAAAAATTTGGACTAGAGTTATATCATTACTGAGATCCAGAGACCACGTTGGGCAGCGCTGGTTGATACGTTTACGATGCGCTTTGTGAAACCCATATTAAATTTATAAATTAAAAACCACCTAGCGTTTTAATATTTGTATGACAAAGAACATCGCATGTCAACTTCGACGTCTAGTGTAGTAAACTCCTTCGTTTTTATTTGCTACATCTAGATCCACACATAAAACTGGATTCAAATGGCAGCAACACTCGCAGAGCTAATTACACATTATTATTAAAGATCAAATTCAACTCTAGCTAAGATTCTTTGAAGATTTTTAATTCTGTTGTGTGATGAGCGCGTAGAATGAAAAAAGATTGCTGAAGATTTTGAAGATTTCCTGTAAAAGGATGGAGCACGATGAGAAGAGATGGATTTAGGAACAAGAAATGTCAAAAGACTGTTCGTAGATGGATTCGATAGCGTGTGCTTTTTAGGAAATATAGATTACCGATGAAGCAACATAATATATTCATAATCGTAGATGGTAATAGTTTTGGGCTGATTCAAATATACCGTCAACCATTTGGTCAATACTTCCTACTGGAACATGCTATATTTTCTTATGCACACTTCTTCTTGGTTGAAAACGAATAACTACTGCAAATCAGCTCATTTTTACGGAATATTGACTGTAGATGTCCATTAAGCTTGTTAATATATTGTTAAAATCTTCAACAAATTAGTGATCCTGCAAAGATAAAATGGAGACATATGCCTCAGATACTTTCACTGACATATCAAACGTCAAAATGTTCATGATGTAGTGCATTTATTTCAAAGGTTTCAATTGAACAATAGCGAAGACATCATATCAAGAAGACTGGCAACTTCGCCGGAATCCAAGCGACAGATACAGTAGCGCTGCACTTGGGTGAAGGTGGAAGCAACACACAAGTCTTTCTTCTGAAGTTGTAATATTTGCTATCAACTTCGTTCGAAGCGTTTCCCATCAAACAATTTGAGTTGATGAACAGCTGAAAAAGCTATTTTTTTAGCTGAAGAAGCTTGTTTTTTCCTAAATAAGCTCTTATTCAACATTCAATGTTTGTTGGGTTACCTTTGAGCCGCAGATGACGCGATGGTTCCTGTTGCATAGCGGTCGTGTGAGAAAACGGAAGAGTTGCCAGTCTTCTTGTTTTGTTGTCTTCGGTAATAGTTTCCACCATCAAATCCGACGCCCTGCCAATGGTCGCTAAACCAGTTTTGCGGTATAAAGATTTTCTAAAAATCACCGATTTCTCTTCAAACTTTGCTTTTAGTGGTGAGAAAATTTCTACATTTTGTTTTTTTTTAGCAAAAGAGATATTATGTAGAAATAAACTATCGGAAAAATTGCACCATTGCTGATATTTTCAATTAAAAGTCAATTTCGTCATACATCTCAAGTGAATTTTCCACCAGCCCATTCGTATGGATACAATTATAAAAGCGTAGGTTACTCCCCAACAAACATTGAAAGTTGAATAAGAGCTTATTCAGGCAAAATTATGCTTCTTCAGCTAAAAAATAGCGTATTCAGCTATTAACCAGCTCAAATTATTTGTTGCGTCATGCGCTGAGTGACCTACCCTTTTACAAATTTCTCCATACGAATGAATAAAAGTGACTTACAACGGAGTAAAAGTGACTCCCTCTCTGAGCTAGTTTAGTTTTCAGTGTAGATTGAAGTCTGCTCGTCCTCTGGTGGTGAGTGCTGTCAGAACCAGCATGAAACACCAAATTTAGATACCCAGAAAGTTCTCTAGACATTGAACCTTTTAGTCGTGCTCAGGAAGATCACACTGGTAATTGACTCAAAGTTTTCTGAAGTTATGCTCAAAATGCCCTGGAGTTGGATTAAGTAGACCGTTTGTTTTGCATGTAACATTTGCTCGAAGTCTTGATTGGAATGATTTGATCGATTATAATGTTTACCTGTGGTCGTTCCCGTAGTACAAGATTCAGCTACTTATGAGGTTCAAATACGACGTCGGTCACGTTCATACACTAAGCATGAATGTCAACAAAGATTAGATTTCCAAGTCACCGTCTTGGCCTTGCTACAATGAATGTCAAACAATGCGTTCCCTTTTCTGCATACAATACCCACATTCCATTACTTCAAATCAGTTTAATTAAAACTAGATCGTTACCTTTCTCTATCCGCTGCAGCCTGACTTGTCTCTCAGACTTAAATATCTCCGTCGTTCGCAGTCTGTCCCTGCAATCACGTCTGCTGTCACTGAGCTGTGTCACCGTGCTGCATTTAGTCCAAATATGGCTTGCAGAGGCACACACATACACGCGCGGGCCACACCGGTGAGCGCGGTGCAGCTCAATTACTTTAGCAAACAACACTCCTCGGGACGGTGGCTGGGGCTGCGACACACCACACACTCTGCTAAACAGCTAAAACAACACCTTCCACCGATTACCTCCCGTTTTGGCACGTAATCCAATAATTGTAATCCAAATTGGGGATGATTTAATTTCAATTTCCAGCCGACTGATCCTTTATTTTATGCGCCGGTTTTCGGTATCACCTCGTGCCTGATTTCATTTCTTTTTTTTTTATTCGCTCATTCGCGCAACTTCACGACGCGGACTTTTTCTGTTTTATGCTTATTTGTTTTAAATTTATCACTGCACTGCGTCGTTTTCCCAGCGAATTGACGCGCTTTTTACGAGTGTATTTCACAATCACCAGTTTGCGCCGGGTCCCATTTAACCTTTAATCCTTTCCAACTCGATTAACCACACTCCGCCGGGCAGCACATTTTAGCAGCTTTGCTCTGCTTGGAGCGATGACCACAAAATTCGATAAAATTTTATTGCGGTTAAGCTCTGGCGTTTTTCGGTCACTTTTGGAGGATACTTAAAAAAAATACTCTTTTTCTTTGTTGTTTTTTTTTTTGCACCGCACAAACCGCAAATGCACTGGTTCAACGTGCGTGCTCTTCTGCGCTCCTTGCGAGCTTCCTTAACCTCGATACAAGCGCCGCCACTACCAATCTTCAATCGACATAATCTCCGATAAACTTTTTTTTTTCGCAAAAACAACTTAAACGGCAACAACAGCAGCCTCCATCTTGACTTTCCCACCAACCGTGGATCGGTTCACAACCACTTGTTCCATCCCCCTTTCGGTAGGTGTACTCAATCACTCTTCAAAGACACTTTAAGCGAAATCGCATCGCTCCCGAAATCTCCGCGCAAACATCACATCTCTCCGGCACTAGAAAACAATATTCCTGCCCTCCAATCGCGCATAAAGGGTCACGAAACAAGCAGGGCTTCACATCACCTCGAAAAAGGATCACTCAAAATTAGCACTTCCCGGGACTTGCGCAGAACGTTCGCTTCGAACACGGACGGACACAGGTGCGTCGTTCATGCACGATCAATTCTCTCAGACTGAATCGCCCGCTTCGCCAATTGTACAACAAGTTCATCGGACGAGCTTTCGTTCTCTCACCATCCACCCCACAAAGCGGAGAGAAACCATAAACACTTGTTCTCCCGCGACCATATTGTCCCAGGTGGTATTGGTGCTGCACCGGCCATATTGAACTAGCACATTCAAAGAAAAGCTCCCCCGAACGACCGCCGTAGATCGTGTTACGTTTTGCTACCACCACTACCACCGCTTATGACCCTAAACAAACCTTCCAACCCGCTCGCGATCAGGTTGTGTTGTTAGGAGTCCAGTCCAGATTGCGACCAACACGCGGAGCATAAATTCACACGACTCACGAGAGCCAAGAGAGAACACCTTCCTTCGCTCTTATTGTCTAAACCGCTGCTGCTGTGTTGGGTTGTTGAGATTGTGGAAGAATGTGGAAGACGAACGAGATAAGATCAACACCAGAGAGGAAGCCACGACGACCGACGGAGCGATCAACCAAAGCAAAGAAGCAGAAGGCGAGAATCAAGGAAAAAAAAGCCCAACAAACCAACATAGATATGCGGCGAACGCAGAGAACGAGTCAAGCCGGTTTTTTCGACTTGGTTCTCGCTTGAGACGGCGATCGATCGACAACGACGGCAGCGCGAGTTTTCAGGGTCTACTGTTAAGCTGTTCCGTCCCTTTCGGATTTGGCGTTTGACTAGCAGAGAAAGAACTAAAAGCTTGAAGGAGAAAAAAAGAACGGAACGTCTTAGAAGGGAAAAATGACTCTTTTTGTTTGCGTTAGCTCTCGGAAATGTGAGATGGATAGTTTTTATTTTTTTTTATTTTAATTTTTTTTTATTTTGGAGATTGTGGGCTCCGAGCGGGAATCTGTCCATCATCATCACGACGACCGATCACGTAGGACAGGGTGATGGAGATGATCGGTCGTTGGTGATGGAATGTTCTTGAAGATTGGGATCGGTTTTAAAGTGTGGTGTAGAATTATTAAACAGAGTAAACTCACGCAATGTATGAAATTGAAATGCTTTGTGGTGTGTTTTCTTGTTGTACGCCCTTTAAATATAGAGTAGTTTGGAGAAAATGCTTGACCTCAGTGATGCAATTTAAATACTCCAAAACATGAAGGATGATTCCTTGGACAAAACTAGTTTCATGATTTACTGTATGGAACAATTCAACAGGTTCAATTTTCTGAACATTTATAGCTAGAAAAACGTTTCGCAGAAGAATTCTTGAAACTATCATTTGTCCAAATAGTGAGAAAAAGCTCAATGCTCTAATGAGGCAATGGTTCATTAACTTGATGTCCAATATTGTGAATTTTGCATTACACATTCTACTCCATTTTGTGGTTAAAATAAATAAATGTTTGTATTCACATTAATCCAGTCAGTAAGGTTTTTTTTTTTTTTTCCTTTGGTTTGTTTTTTCCGTCGATCTTGTTTTCCGTGCTGAGCACCAATGCTACCGACGTACCAGGAAGGCAGCTCCCACACCTTGATCCTACCTATCGACCCATCAAACTCATGAAACGGGGACCAACGGCTTTACTTCCCATCCGAAGGCGTGATCAGAGGCGGCGCCGACTGGGATTGAACCCAGGCCTGCTGGGGTGATAGGTAATCACGCTTACCACTACACCACCGGCGCTGTTTATCAGTAAGAATTTACTGGGTTTTGAATTACGGAACTGTTTGGTAAAAGTTTGGAAACCTGTGGAAAATTCAAAAATGAGAAAATTAATTCCTATTTTGTACAGACTTAGCTCTGTAAGCCCCATTTAATGATAGAACATAAAATTTGTCGATTTCATGCATTCCTTACAGATAACGGTCATTCGATTTTTACCGACTTTATCAGCAATTCAAAAACCCAGTAAAAAATACTGACTCCTGTAAAATAATCTTCGTGTGTAGGTTTGAAGCATAACCCATTACTGATGTGCCCCTTTGTTTTGTGTTTCCTATTGTTCTTAAATTAAAATCATTTTCCCATGATTAATTTCGTCTTCACAGCAAACACTTTGTAAATTTACATGTGGCACATTGATGTATTTATTTATTTGTCGTCAATCAGTGTAGACCGGTTTGCAATAGTTGCCTTAAGACCTATTTTTATACAATTTTATCTTTGTTCTATAAATTATAATATGTCATGAAAAAAAAATCTACTAGTTGAAGTTACGTGAAGAACTAAAATATTACTTTAATTGGGTTGTTGTCATTGTAAAGGCCGATGTGAGAAACGTCAAAAATTATTGCTTCCATTCCCGGGCGAATTTTTTTCCTATTTTTTGCAAATAATCGGGATATTTGGGTACACTAATACCACCCAAAATTAAGTAGACTCGTAAACGGAATAAAAAATGATAACTAATGTTTTTTTTATTATGTTCAGATACCTTTTGATACCTTATTTATGATTAAAATACTTATATAGATGCTATGAAACTTACCTGTAATGAGACTTGAACCTGGACATTCTGGAACAACAATGGTCAATGACAAGAACAGGATGGTATTATATGCTTCTAAATGTGCCATTATAACGTTTTACAGGAAAAAATCTCCTATCTGTTATGCTTACAGCCTACAGGAGCAAATATTAAACCGTGAATCTACCATTAAAGACTTAGGCGTCCTACTTGATTCACAACTCACCTTCAAGGACCATGTGGCTTATGTTTCCGCTAAGGCGTCTTCTCAACATGGTTTCATTTTTCGTTTCGCCAAAGACTTTAGACTTTAGACCAAACACTCTATTGTTCGCTAGTCCGTTCCACATTAGAGTACTGTTCCATAGTATTGGCTCTTTTTTACAGCAACAGGGTGAATCGTATTGTATTCAGCGAAGATTTGTACGTTTCGCCCTTCGTTGGCTACCCTGGAGTGATCCTTTCAATCTCTCTAGTTATGAAAGTCGCTGTAATTTGGTGTCCCTACAATTACTTAGTGTACGCAGTGGCGTTTCTAAGGCTACCTTCATCGCTGATCTCCTACGATCGGATGCGGTTCACTTCTGCAGCAGTTGAATGTCAAGATCAGACACGTAAATTTACGTTTTTATTATTTTAAAGGGTGTCCACGATGAAATTGCCACACTATGAAATTGCTCTAACTTTTTAACCGTTGGGTAGAATTTAATGAAAATTTGGGTGGATTTAGTTCATAGTGCATTATTTACATCCTGCAAGTTTTAAAGTCCTGTGATCAAAACTCGCGGAAATGGAGTCGAAAGAACAGCTCGTGCATGATAAAATCTTGCGCATTCATCACGAGAACAAGGATCTCTCGCATTGTTCCATCGCTAAAACGTTGGGAATCGCGAATTCCACGGTGTCGCGAGTGATTAAGCGGTTCGAGGAACGGTTGACCACCGATCGGAAGCCCAGAAGTGAAGGAAAAAGTATTCCGTACAACACCAAAAATCACAACCGCGTAGTTGGGGCCTTCAACCGAAATCCGAACGCCTCCGTTAGGGATGTGGCTAAGAAGCTGCACCTAAGCCGAAGTTTTGTCCAGAAGGCCAATACTAAGGCTGGGCTTCGAACGTTCAAGGTACAAAAGGCCCCTAATCGCGACGAGAAGCAGAACAAGTCCGCCAAAACCCGTGCCAGGAAGTTGTACCTCAACATGCTGACGAAAGTTGAATGCTGCATCATGGACGACGAAACATATGTGAAGGCCGACTTCAAACAGATCCCCGGCAACCTGTTTTTCACGGCCAAGGATAAGTTCAGCGTTCCGGAGCATGTCCGCACTCAGAAGATGTCCAAATTTGCGAAGAAATTCCTGGTTTGGCAAGCCATCTGCAAGTGCGGGAAGCGGAGTGCACCTTTCGTGACCCAGGACACGATGAACGGACAGGTGTACATAAAAGAGTGCCTCCAGAAGCGGCTGCTTCCTCTCCTGAAGGCCCACAACGTCCCAACAATCTTCTGGCCGGATTTGGCCTCATGCCACTACTCCAAGGACGTGCTGAAGTGGTATGCGGACAATAAGGTCAATTTCGTGCCGAAAATGTTCAACCCTCCCAACACTCCGGAGCTCCGCCCCATCGAGAAGTACTGGGCGATTATGAAGCAGCACCTTCTTAAACGACCTAAGGTAGTGAAGACAGTCGAGGAACTGAAGAAAGTATGGGTTTACATGCAAAAAACGGTTGATTCACAGGTTGTGCAGAATCTTATGGCCGGGGTTAAGGCCAAGGTGCGGGCATTTGCGTATGGACTGTAAATAAAATACGAGTAAAATGGTAAAATGAAGTTTAATAGTTATTTCTCAATCCCTGAAAATTTGATGGCAATCGGATGAAAACTCGAATTTTGCGAATCAATTTTGTGTGTGGCAATTTCATCGTGGACACCCTTTATCAATATTCCGGCTCCTCGCACAAACTACAGCGCTAATGAGCCGTTAACTAACATTTGCAAGCATTTTAAACAAATGTTATAACTGCTTTGATTTTAAATTGTGTTAGGCTTAAGAATCTGTTTTATAATGTATTTTTAACTTCCTGACGGTTTCTGTTTTCTGTATTTAAATTAATATATATTTATATGTTCAGGACTTAGTTCAAGAAAATGTATCTGTAGGATTCCATGTTACCTGTTGGTACTGAAATATTGAGGTTTTGCACCCACTAGCGTGGGCTTTTCCCTCCAAAGAAATACATAAATAAACAATCATGTACCTGTACTCCCGAAGCTATAGATCATGATGTAAATTGCTTCGTAAATTGGCTTATTTAAACACACGATTGGTAGAGGTAATCCATTTCACGTTTTCATGGTCTCAGATCTCATCATCAAGAAGCTGTGAAGATCTCATAATTTAATTTTATATACACTTTCCTGATGCACTGAGTATTATTTTCAAATGCATACATTATGTAGACCTAGAGATTTAAGGATGAGAATATACGAAGTGGTTAAACAAATCGCGTGTAAAAAGTCATACATCAATCGTTTACCCAATCAGCATTGTCAAGTTTCTATGTTGGTGTTTGTGAACAT